AGTCCTTGCTCCAGACCCACAGCCCTGGTTTCCCGGTCCCTCTGGCAGGTGGGAAACAAGTGGCTTTCGCCATCCTGCAGGGTGGATGAGCCCTGGGGCGAGGACAGGGGAGACAGAGGCACAGGCACATCCCTCCTGCAGGAAGCTCTTTAGAAGCAGATTCCCTTCCCTGCTCCACCTGACTTCCATCTCTGCCTACTATCTCCCAGGCAGCACCCAAGCATCCCAATCCAGCTATTTTGAAGCCAAATCCTCTCCTTTTTAAGCAATTTTACTTCAGTTGTGGAAGTCTGTAGCAGAGGTGGGCTCAGATCCCCCTAAAAATTCTGTCCATCTGCCTCTCGCAGACCTCTCCCACAAGAGCTGGGCCGTTTGTGCCAGCCATCAAGCCTTCACTTGGCCCAAGATACTTTGTCAGTGATGTTTTTCAGCCTCTCAGCTATTTTCCAGCTTGTTGGGTCCTGCATCTGTTCATTCCTCTCCACCTTGCCACCAAAGGGCAGCTGGACCAGAGCAGGTCCATCCAGAGCAGAGCCCAAAACCTCTGCAAAGGTCCCCAAGGAGGGGAGAAGATGTTCCTGAAATGGTTCATCCCAGCTGGTCACTCACCTCTCGGGGTTGGATGGGTCCTGCCAGTTTTTCCCCCAGGACGGCAGTGTAATAGGCCAAATTCTGGTTCATCACCTCATCGTTTGGGAAGAAGAGCAAATAGGTTTTGGTGCACTCAATGGCTTTTTCGTAATTCCCATCTGCAAAGAGAAACGGGGCTGTTACAGCACGTCCAAGAGCATCAGAGACAGAGGATAAACATGGAGGAGAAATGAGAGAGAAAGCCCTTGTTGTTCTCCAAAGGGTCTCCCAAGTAGGGCAGATACCCTGGAGCGAAGACAACTGCTGCCACAAAGGCAAAATTAAGAGTCCGAGGTGCTCTCCTGCCTCCAGAAATCATCTCACCAGCAATCAGGGCCACCGCTGGGGTAGTTTTCTCACTGGGAAAACATCTAGAAGCCTATTTCCAGGCAGCAAGACCCAACCATTTCCAGGCTAACCTGCAATTTTCAGCCATTTAAGCACCCTGACCCACTCCCAGGCACAGGATTGCAGCCTTTCCACCTTCTTGGATGTCTTCTCTTTTTTCCCTCCTTTTGGAGAAATTTGCACAGAAACAGATTAGATTTTTCTAAGGAGGTGAATAAAAAAAAAATAAAATGGGGTATATTTGCCTGGGTTGTAACTAACTGTTCTGGAGGGGGAGGGTGCCTCTGTGGTTTGGAGCAAGATGTGGACAGTTGGCAGGAGAAAAAACCCAAACGCTTCTCTAGGCTGTTATTTCACTTGGAAAGTGAAGCTGCCCAGGAACTGAGCATATAAAGTGACATGAAGGGTTCTCGCAACCAGGTATGGCAAGACCCAGCTCTCCTGGGGCACATTTCAGGCTGGAGGAGTGGGGCTGCGTGAACCTCATGAAGATCAACAAGGTCAAGCAGAAGGTTCTGCACAAGCATCAGTAAAGACTGGGGAGCAGATGGGTTTAGAGCAGCCCTGTGGGGAAGGAGTTGGAGACACTGGTGGACAAAAAATTGGACACAAGCCATCAACATCCGCTTGCAGACCAGAAAGCTGAGTGTATCCTGGGCTGCATCACAAGGAGTGTGGCCAGCAGGTCAACGGAGGCGATGCTCCCCCTCTAGCCCACTCTCGTGAGATCCCACCTGGAGCCCTGTGTCCAGCTCTGGGGTCCTCAGCACAAGAAGGACATGGACCTGTTGGAGCAGGGCCAGAGTTGGGCCACAAAAATGATCCAAGGGCTGGAGCACCTCTGCTATGAGGCCAGGCTGAGAGAGTTGGGGTTGTTCAGCCTGGAGACGAGAAGGCTCCATGGAGGCCTGACTGCGGCCTTTCCATATATAAAGGGGGCTTACAAGAAAGGTGGAGACAACTTTTTTACCACAGCTTGTAGTGACAGGACAAAGGGCCATGGTTTTAAACTTAAAGAGTTTGGGTTTAGGTTCACCATAAGGAGGAAATTTTTTATGCTGAGGGTGGTGAGACACTGGAAGAGGTTGCCCAGAGAAGATGTGGACACCCCATCATTGGGAAAGTTCAAGGTCAGTTTTGACGGGGCTTCGAGAAACCTGGTCTCATGTAAGATGTCCCTGCATCTTGGGTTGGACCAGATGATCTTTGAAGGTCCCTTCCCAACCCAAACCATTCTGTGAGTCTATGATTTCTGCCCATGAAGAACGGCCCGCGCCGAGTACAATGTCCAACGCCGATGGCCAACAGAGGATGGGGCAAGGAACTGCTTACTGTTGTAGTAGGCAAACTGCAGGTAGTTGAAATGTGAGGGCAGGAAATCCTCCAAGGGCTTCTCCCGGCCGGGCTGGGAAGCCAGCTCTGTAACACAGCCCTGTTTGCAGCTTAGCACCTGCATGTAGTGATCTGGTGGAGAAAAACCCTGTGTCACTGCACATGGTGGCCCAAAGGGACAGGACCTTGGGGGTCTCCACTCCAACCTCCTGTGTGCAGCAGGGCTGCTGACAGCTTCTCAGTGGTGGAAACCCCCAAGGACGGTGGTCGCCCACCTCTGTGTGACTGGGGCTGTGCCGCTGTCCGAGGAAGGAGCAACCATCCTCAGCCTCCCGCCCCTCTGTCTTGGCAACCCTCTGCTGGTCCTTCTCCCATTTCTCCACATCCCTCTGGAATTTCTGGGGTTCCTGGGCATTGCCCCTGGTGCTGAGTGTGGGCAAACACCTCCTGCCACTTACTGGCCACACTCCTCCTAGCAAAACCTAGGATGGGGTTTGCCCTCTATGGGGACCCACTGCCCCCCAGGTCTTTAGGGACCTCTGTGGGGACCCACCACCCCCCAGGTCTTTAGGGACCTCTTGGAGGACCCACGACCCCCCAGGATTGTCCCTAGCTCTTGACACAGGACACAGCATGAGCAGCTCCCACCTGTGATGGCCTGGAAAAGGTCTGCGTTGTACTCCAGGTAGTTGTAGCCCTCGTAGTCGTAGGGTCCCTCGCAGAGCGCTCGGCACTCGGCATCTGCCACAAAATACTCCTCCAGCGCCTTCTCCAGGTGCAGGATGGCAGCGGCCGGCTGCTCCTCGGTGTAAAACCGGACGCCCAGACGGAACTCGCTCTGTGGAGGAATGAGAAATTGTGGGGGGGTGCTCAATGCCCCCCAGCTCCCTGTGACGGAGTGCCTTGTCCCCGTGGGATGGACCTCACAGCACCAAGGCGGCATCTGATGGGCTTGCCAAGCCAGCAGCCGCGGCGTGACCTGCCCAGGTCCGGCAGCAGATGGGGGCTTTGGCAGGGGGTGCGCAAGGCGGGG